TGTCAGTCAGTTGTTGTTTTTCCGACAGTCATACACACCACCGCCATCGTGCATACACACACACACACACACACACACAGACACACACACACACGAACACCTCCAAGTCAATTTTAGCAGAACTTCTTTTGAACAAAAGTCCCAGTTCTTTTTTATCCCGTGCAAGACTGGAATTCAAAACGAGATGAATTTGGCAGGAAAGCTGAGGTTTATCCGATGGTCCCCTAATACCCCCGGGGATGGGAGGGGGTGCATCTGGGGAGGACAATTTTATGAGTCACATACACGCTTGTTTGTGTCTGAAGTGATGACTCGGTTGAGGAAATCCATTGTATTGAAAAATAGTTGATCCGTTAGCAGACCGACTGGCTGGCTGGTTGTCTCGTCCCAATCAGACACCAGCCAGCACCATCGACAACCGAAATAGTAAGAATCATCCTGATTCATTCGAGTGTGTTTGTTTGTAGTGTGTGTGTGTGTGTGTGACCAGAAGGTCTAAGCGTGACTAACTAGAGCCAAGAGACAGCATAGTGCACGGTGTTGTGTTGGCTGAACAGATGCGGGTCAATCTCCCAAAGGTCGACAGACTTGGTCATCAAAGGGCAAACTTCAACCGTACACAAACTCCGTCGGACCATCTGCACGCGACAGCTGGATCTCATGTGTGTGTGTGTGTGTGTGTGTGTGTGTGTGTGTGTGTGTCTGCGTGTGGATGCTTGATGTCTCGCGCGTCCACGTGTCCAGTTTTCGCTGGAAACGTAATTGTCGTATTCCAAGTTTAGCCAATACATCTACTGTTGTCATACCCCCCTCCCCCTTCTATCTAGATTAACCGAGAGCAGCGCCTGTCAGTCTGTAGACAATGCTAATAGTATCCCCGAGAGAGATAGAGGAAGGGAGAGAGAGAGAGTAGCTGTTAAACCTGTCGTTCGAATCGATCGGTTGACAGTGAGTCAAGTGCATTTATTCCACGGGTATCACCTGTCTACCAAGCATTGTCTCACATACAGAAAGATGACCTAGTAATAGTGTCTATAGGTCAAAAGCATCAGCGTACTTTTGAAAGACTGACAATAGAAGTTCAAACCACATTTACAAATCAATTCACAATGCACTGGGATTTTTGCACAACACCTCTACGGTTTCGGTGTGTAAGTTGACGTAACTGACTTTGTCTCGTTTACTATGTCGCCCCTCTCCCCCTCCCCGGTATCTCCATCTGCCTCATTTTAAACAGTACCTCAGGGTCAGACCTAATTCGGATTGGTTGTAGCCTTACTAGAAAAGCGAAAATTGCCTGTAATGAACGATCTCACTGCACCACGCAGAAAAAGGGCATAAAAGGAGACAAGTTTCTCCTTGAGACATCTGGCTAATACTCTGGTTGACATATATTTGAGTTCGTAAAATATTCCCACCTTACGCTCTCTTTTATTCGTATTTAGCAGAAAAGCATGTTGATGAATAACTTTCAGCATAGATAATAACAAGACTAATGAATTACAGTTGTAGGCGTTCTGTGATTCGATGGAACAAGTTTGTTTCAAGTCCTGGTCGAGAAAAGGTCAATGGATAGTGGAAATCTGACGATCGAAAATTGTCCACCCCCTGTTTTCGAAGACCGATTTCCGATTGTGGCTGGGTTGGGTGAAGTGACTTGAGAAATCGCTTCTGTGAACAAACCAGCTGATTGAACAGTCTAATCACTGTGGTCTCCGTGGTTGCTAAAGCGGAGTTCACCACGGTAAAGGACACCTATTGCACAAAAATTTGGAGACGCAAATTTGGTTCCCCTTATCTCTGCGTTAGAAAAGGTTCTTCTGGTTCCTACCCTCAGCCAGACTGGTTTGTGTCCCATGATTATCTGTGATAGTTACGATGTCAGCTTTCCTACAAAGAGCCCACGGAGTACTGCTAAACCCACCCATAGTGATGCGCCAATCCTCTACCATACCAAATATACAAAAGGTGTCAAGGTATGAAAAAAGTAAGTCGATTTATCCCAGAAAATTTGCCAAGTGCTATTAAACTCACCCCCAGAAGGGTGGAAAAATATCGGATTTGCTTGCAAACGCAATGATCTTCCTCTTTGATGCCTCATTTTCAATGCTCACGGATGTGTTTTTGATTGGTGTACACGTCACAGGTGACTCAAACAAAGTTTGCTCGAGCTATACATTCCGTTTGAAAGTAGGGACCTCTCGTGAAAACAGATGGACTGCATGAAATCCAAGACTACCTGAGACGGAACTATGAACAATGCTGGCATAACAGTTATTCAGGATGAGCATACGACAGTTTGAAGAAAATTTTCGGAATGATTGTGATTATTCGTAACTTTTTGAAGGAATCACATCACTGTATCTCTAAGGGAAAAAGTAGAATTCGAAGAAAAACCACCAGGTGGGCAACTAATATACGCTTGCGCAATCGGAGGTGATCAAAAGGTTATCATCATAGACTTTGGACAATAACGACCCGGGTTCGATTCCCGCCATGCCCGGGAAGCGTTTCGTTAAAAAAGTAAAAATTCGAACTGTAAAGAGTACGTGATGTGTTTGACAAACTTAGGAGTGCATCTCAGAAGCAGAAGTTATTGCGGCTGAAGTTAAGCCTTTGGAGTATACAACAAGTCATACAGTCTGTGTCACATCTGCGGTACAGAAAGATGAGGTTAGTGTATTGGTGGGTTGATCGTTGATTGTCAAAATCGAGAGGAATGCTGAATGGAATGATGGTATCGATGAGAAAAAGCTTGATATGGAGACCCCTGATGTAATCACATACCACTGGTAGGATTTCAGGAAAAGCAACTTGGGCCTCAATCGTTAAGCCTTCAGTGGTGGCTCAGAGGTGGCTGACCGCCCATCTTTTGCAGACGAAAAACCACAGCTAGCATTCTTAGACGTGAAGCAGTCGGCTGACCCATACGTCAGAACGCTGAGTTCATTTTTGATACAGACGATTCCGGGAAATCGACCAAGGGCCATAAAATTTCAACATGACCACTCAGCCAAACCTATAGTTATTCTCACCAGAAAGCGACTACTTCATCGAAGGATCAAGCCCGTGAACTGGAGCACCCGCAGTCCAGGCTTGGAACAAACTGAAAATGTCCACGGTCTATTAGCGAGGCGAGTCCGTGCAGATGAAGGAGTCCCCAGCACTCTGCATGGGGTTTTGTCGGCCGTCCTCAATGAATGGGACAGCACACAACTTGAGACCAGCCGTGACACCACTGAAAACACGTCGGAACGTTGTGTATCAGTTGTCATCTGTAAAGACCATTGTGAACACAACGGCGTGGCGAGCAAGCTCGTTTTCAGTTATTTGTACTCATACCAATACATAACATTAAATATGACTCAAAACAACAAAGGGAAATGATAGTCCAAATCTGTCTGTGTACGTGAGTGTGCGCATGTGAAACTGATCACAGTGAAGAATGTTCGAGTGGTTGCTCACGTGTTCGGGAACAAGAAGTGGGCCATGGTAGTTTAAGTGCTTGCACAAATTGTTTCTGAGCGCACAGGGGAGGATTGTAGAGTCGAATTCTCACGGCCTCGGCTGTGGCTAAGATGCGACATTTGACAAGTCTTGATTGCTTGCCCCGGACTTTGTAAATGGTACGAAAAGCATTTATAACCTCTACGGAATGGTTTGACTCAACAAGGTGTGAACGCACAGCACTCGCAATTGTCTTAATTGCTCCAGTGCTCAACCAAGCCGAGCGGTGTTCACGAACACGGTCCAAAAAGGGCCTGGTCGTGCGACCAACGTACCTGGTCCCACAGAAACAAGTAAATGAATACACACAAAAAGATGTTGCAGAATCTGGTACTTTATCCTTCAGTCGGAAATACACGATCGGTTTGGACTCGAACATAATTTGTAGCTGTGCAGCGTAGAATGTTCTACTGACTGCTCCTGTTAGTATTCGTTGGATGGTAAAGGGACAAATACGGGCTTCTTTTGGACTACTGTCTGTCTTGGCCTATCTTCATGTCGTTGCATCGTCCTGTCAATGAACTGTTCAGGATAGCAGTTTTCTAGGAAAATAACCCTCTGCGAACAAAGTTCATTTTCTACTGTCTTCCGTGCAGATTTTCTTTACTCTATTAATCAACCAACGTATTCGGTTTCTCTTCACTTTGAGTGGTACGATATTGTGCTGATATTTTCATGGCAAAACTTGAAAATAGCCAACTCAAGTCCACAATCGAAGGGTGCACCTTATACAAACGGTACATGTGTAATAGACATCAAAGTTGATCCAAATGTGCTGCTTAACAAATTTAACACAACCCATCCAGATGTTCAATCCACTTTGGAACAAGAAAAGGAGAACAGTCTACCTTACTTAGATGTTTGTGTAAGCCGCCGAAGTGATGGTTCCGTTCAGTGGTCAGTGCATAGGAAAGCAACTTGGAACGGCCAATACAGTCATTTTCACATTTTCGTACCACTCAAAGTGATGTTCTGATTGATGTGACGGGGTTTACTCCGTAATATATATATATATATATATATATATATATATATATATATATATATCACGGAGGATTCGCGGGGATTATTGATCCCTTTGGTGGATGGAATTTGCCAACCAAGAGCCATTGATTTTCTCACAAATGATCAATTGGTCCGATGAAATAGAGACACCGTCCGTCAGTTTTACGGACTAATGAACTAAACTGTCTGGTCGAACTTTACCCGACAGTTGAACAAACAATTCGTTTTTCAATCAGATATTTACTGATCAGTGATTCGTTTTTAGTCCAACAAGTCCACTGTCTGTCTTAGTGTGAAAAATTACTGTACTTTTGAGTGAATGATAAGGATGATTTTTGTGCTCTGGAGACACAATGCAATCACCTTTGTCATGAACTTCAAAGTCGTCAGCGGGCTTGAGATACGACTGAATGTTGATGGGCCACTGTTGAGACGACAGCTTATACTTGGGACGGACATTCAAGTTACAAAGTCCATTTGGTTCTCAGATGGCAATGTACATCATTCTACCGTTGTCTGATAAGGTGACGGGTGACCCATCATTAATGAAGGCTGCTGAAGCATACCTAAGTAAGTCTTCAGTTAGTGGTATTGAGGTAGGGGATAATAACAGTAGTAGTGGTAGTAGTAGTAGTAGTGGTGGTAGTAGTAGTGGTAGTAGTAGTAGTAGTAGTAGTAGTAGTAGTAGTAGTAGTAGTAGTAGTAGTGGTAGTAGTAGTAGTGGTAGTAGTAGTAGTAGTAGTAGTGGTAGTAGTAGTAGTAGTAGTAGTAGTAGTAGTAGTGGTAGTAGTAGTAGTAGTAGTAGTAGTAGTGGTAGTAGTAGTAGTGGTAGTAGTAGTAGTGGTAGTAGTAGTAGTGGTAGTAGTAGTAGTAGTAGTAGTAGTAGTAGTAGTAGTAGTAGTAGTAGTAGTAGTAGTAGTAGTAGTAGTAGTAGTAGTAGTAGTAGTAGTAGTAGTAGTAGTAGTAGTAGTAGTAGTAGTAGTAGTCAGTTGCTGTTCACAATTATAGTAGAGCACGTTAAAGTCCAACAAATACCCCACATCAAAAGAGGGTAGATTCGGTTGTACTGCCGTACTAAATGAGCAAACTGTCCAACCACGTAGAAAAGAAAGCCAAGTAGACATTGAAATACCTTTAGAGAACTTAGGAGGACAAACTGTTGACCTCAGATTAAAGTCGGCAGAGGATTAAGAACGTTTCAAGTAGTCATTAGTCATGGCATGTTACCAGTATCAGCGATATCAAGTCCGTAATCAAGGTCCTTTAACAAAAAAACATATTGACGCACTTAGGGATCTACAACGAAACCCTCAAATTCTCCTAAGCAGACCTGACAAGGGAGCCGGTATTGTTGTGATGGGCCGGGCCTCATACGTGACAAAGGTGTTAAATTTCTTGTGTGATCAGTCTAAATTCACTCGTGACACATCACAAAAAGACCAAACAGAGAAGGCGGGAAATGGAGTTACCAACAAATTGAAACACCTCAGAGACCAGGGCTACATTTCACCTAACCTATTTGGAAGCCTTAAACCCATAGGCTCCACCGTACCTCGGCTATATGGCCTTCCAAAAGTTCATTAACCTGGACGGCCCTACGCCCCATCGTTTCCATGACAAATTTAGCATATCACACGACAGCCAGATGGATATTTAATCTTTTAGAACCCGTAAGACAGAAACTTGCAAAGCATACACTCCGTGACACGTTTCACTTTATTGAAGTTATTAAAAATGTGAACATGTCAGGAAAACAAATGTTCTCTTTAGAAGTGATTTCTTTGTTCACTAATATACCTTTGATTGAAACAGGAGACTTTATCTGTTTATTTGTTGATGAAGAAGCAATACCCGTATGAATTCCAACGGCCATTCTAAGAGAACTAATTCTTCAATGCACTTTGTACGTACAGTTTGTATTCAATAACACCTATTGTCGCCAGAAGGATGGGGTTGCTATGGGGTTGCTATGGGGTCACCTCTAAGACCACTTCTTGCTGACATTTTCATGGCAAAACTGGAAACTCGAGCAATAAGCAGAACAATAAGTCGATTAGACTGCTACTACCGATATGTGGATGATATATATTCTGCATAGCCGATGCACAAACCAATTTAGATGATATATCTCGCAAATTCAACACTACGCACTCCGCAATCAGGTTTACCACCGAGATGAAAGAAGAAAATTGCCTACCGTTTCTTGATGTGCACTTAACCAGACGACCTGACGGCTCGATGCAGAGGAAAGTGTATCGGAAAGCCACCTGGAATGGCCAGTACACAAACTTTCACAGTTTTGTGCCACTTGGTTACAAACGTAATCTGATACGCTGTATTCTACACTGCAGACACTCTGGAGGCCGAGCTATCAGACATAAGGAAGACTCTACTTAGCAACGGTTATCCTGAGAAATTTATCCAAAGAAACTGGACCGAACGGATAAAACCAGTGAGAATCACACAGACAGAAAAGAAAATACTACTCATTTGACTCCCCTTAACGGGAGTTGTGGCAGCCGATAGAATCTGTAAAATTTTAAGTTCCACGGTTAAGTCCACCTTCAACGCTGCCAAGATCAGATGCGTGTTTTTCTTGCCACCAGTAATACAATGTGAAAATAAAGAAAAGCTGCCCTTGTTGACCTCATCCATGATCATCTATCAATTCAAGTGTACCTGTGGTGCTACTTACATAGGTCGAACGGCAAGACAGCTATCAAAACGCATTAAGGAGCATCACCCACGATGGCTTAGACACAGAGTCAATGGAGTGGTATCAAGTTCAATAGTCTCGCACTTGTTAGAAACTGGGCGGTCAATCGACATCCAGTCCGCCTTCAAAGTCGTCTACCGGGTCCCACAACACGTGTCAAGAGCAATTAGGCTCCGGATACTAGCAACTGCCAAGGCGATTATCATCCGCCTCTCGACGTCTGAGCTTTGCACGCAGCGAAAGTTATTCCAAGCACTACAACTCCCATGACCAACACTCAACTGTGTTACACAGCCGGGCGCAGCGGTGATGTAAGCTAATTAGCACCGGTTACATAATCTGGTCATTCACATGGGTTACCGTCCTTCCTCTCCCTTAATTCTCCGTAATGACTTAGTGGGACTTTTGGAGAACACAGTTTGGCGAACAAACTCGTTTTCAGTGATTCATAATCATGCCATTACATCACAATGTATTACGACAAGTCAAAGAGTGGGACTTCTTCCAACTCTTCTTAATAATTCGTTTTCACGTAAATGTGATTGTAATGGTAGAATTTTATTGTTTAATATCACCCGTGGTGACCGAAACGTCGACAACCTACCAACGATTTCGACTACGCTGTGTTATTAAACAATAAAATTCCACCATAACATTTCACATGGCGCATCGATTTTTCGACACATTCCGAACCGATCTCGGTTCTGATGCATATGTTCGCCTACAACTCGCTTTCTGAAAAAAGAAAATAACCGCAAACCTGAATCGTGCGGTCAAAACAATTCACAAACACGAACCAAAGTTTGATATTGAGCGAAGCCACACAGCAGCTTCATGACAGAGCCAATGGATTCGTCGAATATTCCAGCAGTCAGATAACCGAATTCGAAGACCTACCTTCAAGTATGACGTCTGATATCTGGAGTATAATATGCATGAGATTTTCACGTTCATTATTGTCGTCGAAAGTGAACGGTTATGTTATCTTTTTCGTGCGCAAGTGTTTTTCCCCATCAGCATGATACAATGGTAATAATAGTGAACTGGTAGAAGCAAATACAATGATAGCAATAGGGATAATTGAACCCGTCCCACTCCCTAACATTTCTCCTTATGACAAACATCCGCTGCCGATGATTCTCAGCAAGGATTTAAGAGCTGCTCAGGGTTACTTTCCGGATTTTCTATTGGGACTTGGGCATGATGAATAAGGCTGTGTGAAATCATTCCCCTTCTTCAAATTATTCCGTGTAGGGGAAAGTGCCAAAAGTTGTGTCAAATGAAAAATTGTAAAGTCCATAATATGCCGTGGTCTTTCAACAGCTGTCCGAAGTGAAGGTACCTAAGGCTGCTGACACAGAGGAGCTATTACTCATGGTACTCAAAGAGTGTGCGGAAGCTTTTTCGGTCCCACTGGTCGGTATCTTCAGTTAATTTCTAACAAGCACGAAAACACCTGGCGTTTGGAGACTGACCGAAACAACGCCTGTCCCCAAGAAAGAACCAGGAAAATATCGCCCTATCGCTTGCACTTACGTGATACTCAAATAGTTTGAGAGGCTTTTGTTACTGTGGCTTAACTTGGGGTTTGTTGAAGAAGATACACCAGTTTGCTTATTCGCGCTCCACCCTTGTTGTCGTAGCTTACTTAGTCTACGCAATAGCTTCGGTCTTAGAGAGGAAACACACGACTGTCAGAATGTTGTTTCTAGATTAGGAAAACACATTTGGCTGCCCTGATCAATCAGTATGCTCTCAGAAAGTGGTGTTGACTCGGAAGCCTGCAGGCTGATTTCAGACTACTTCACTGATCGAAGGTATTCCACTTGATTCATCGGCCAAATGTCATATTCTCTTCTAATTGACTCTGGTGTATTACAAGGTGCAGTTTTTCCCCTTTTTCTATGTTCGACAACTTCCAATCCCGTCGACATCCTCTGGCTGCAAATATGCCGACGATGCAGTTTTAGGCCGTGGATTCCCAACACCCCAAGGAACTTCACAAATTCAAATCAAACTAAACGAAGTTGTGAATTGGTTCTCATTCTGCTCCCTTGTACTGAATGCATCCACATGCCAGGATGTATTATTTCCGTTACTTTCTGGTGAATCCTATAGAATACCCACCAACAGGTTTCCTATCCTATATGAGAACAATGAACCGATCCAATATCACAAGCTGTTAAATACCTTGATGTTGCGCTATTTCACAATCTTTCACGGTCCGTGCATTTTCAACAGACTTTCTGTAAAGTTAGAAAATTGTCCTTTTTCTCTTTCGGTCTGAGGTTATTTAGCGTCCCGAGACAGTTAATTTTTAAACTTGTGACCGCAAGTCTTCTCCCACACGGGTTGTGCTACTCTCCAGTTATTTTCCCCGGTCTAATAAAGAAAGATTTTAACTTGATAATAAGATCTATAAATCACATCTCTAAGTGCAGTGGCATATCCAGATGTACACTTGTTGATATTATCACCTATAAACACTCCCATGCTTGTGGTCAGTTTGCCTCAAAAATACTTTCAGTCATTTATCATCCTCTACAAAGCGAACTTTCAAAAACTGTGTGTTCGACGTGTACGAGCTCAAAGCCCCAAGTTCTACTTGGTCGCTATTCTGCATACCACGGTGCTTACTAATCCAATGAAAGTCAACACAGACCTGTTAGTCGGGATGAAAATTGTCTTAATTTGTGCGTATTTCCAAATTCTGTATTTCTCTATCCATAGACAAGTTGTAAATACTGAAAATCTACTCAGTGGGGTGTATAAAGCTGCAAATAACACGAAGAAACTTGACTTGTTGTCGATGGAGAAATTTCATTTGGCCGTTGTTTCACTTACCCCTTCTCTGGACAACATCGTGTTACTACACTTAGAGTGTCCTTATTTCCTCCCTTGCTTCCATCTTCACCTCAAATTCGGCCACGGAAAACTGATAGCATTATGTTTGAGTAATACCTGGTGTGGACCGGGCGTAGAAGTACCATACTTTGAATATGCGGAAGACATAGTTCTTCTAAGTGAAGATCCAGGTAAGTTGCAAGCTTTTATGAACAACTTGAGTAACTGTGTAGCAAAGTTCGATATGCGTTTTGAGCCTTCAAAGTGCACGGTTCTGTTGCAGGACTGGGTTGGTCTAACACCAAACTTTTTGATATCTGGGATGGATATAGACCAAGTAGAAAAGTTCTAATATCTAGTTAGTTGCATTTCACGCGGAGATCGGATATCACACGAGGTGTATTTGCCTATATGAAAGTCTCGTTCGGCTGTTCCCAACCTAAATCAT